TTACACTCAATGTGGTGCAAAAATTCCATGGGTCTAGCTAATCCCTGATCTTCTAGCGTCTTGGCGACCAAAAACTTTTGACGCCGTCCTCCGTAGGATCAGGGCCAACAAACGCGGCACCCATCCCCGCCCACATAGAACTCAAATCCGCCCAATGGGCCATGGTCTACGAATGCCCTTTGTTGAACTAGGGTGATCGCAGTCGAGGTCTCGAGGCCATCCTTGCCAGGATCATGAAGTGAGGGTCACTTCACCTGGGTGGGTTGCGGGCGCAGTGTGCGCGCCTGGGCCATAAACAAGGCAGATATTAATGAAGACACCTCCGGTCAGCAATCACTGTGATTGTTGCTTCCTTCGCTTCAGGATTCAAGGGGCAATTGTTTTCCTTTTGACAACCCCAGTGTGTCGCGTCGGCAGTGCGCGCTGCACCATCCCGCTGCAGCTTGTCCCTTACATGACGTTTCATGCCAGCTGGAAAAGCAAGAGAAACATGTTAATTACGGAGGCTAGCAGCAAGCGAGTGATCGCACCACTCCATGAGGGTAAATATCTCCGGACTCTGGCTTTGATGTGACAAACGCGACATTATGACAGATTCGGAAGACGGTGGTTGGCTCATGGCCCTGAGGGACAGGCCTCAACGTCCCGCTCCAAGCTCTACTGACCAATTGTCGGAGCCTATCGGTAGACGAGTCTTCATTAGAGTTTACTAGTTGCGATACGTAGCATCCTGCCGTACTCCAGCCATTTGCGCCTCGGATCTCGTACATGTAGATTCAAATACGTATGTCGCGTTTGAGGACAAGAATGGTTAAAATAGGTAGCGTCGCTAGCGCAAGGGGAAAGTTGACCCAGTGCCCGCCCGTCCGCCAAGGATGACCTGTAAGCAAGAAGCTTACAGCGGGCTGTGGGAGGCTCGCAGCGGGACTCGTCCGCGGGTGGCTAGTGCAATGACCGCTCCTGCAGTGTTCTCAGCCACGCTTCGCCAATCACGACCCTCCTCTACACGCCATTCCCTCCACGCTGCCTCGACTGAGCGAAACAACGACCTGACGCTCCAGTCTCTGGGTCTCCCGTTTGTGAGTTTGGGATCCTGGACCTGCGTCTCCAATCATTTCTCGACATCGTCGACAGCGCATCGATGCGTTCTGCCGCCCTGTCGAGCTGGGCCTGCTGTTGCGGTCGAATGAATGCTTGATACGTTGTCCCCCAGAGTGAGCTGGAGCCCAGTCAATCGTGAAGATCCTGGTAGGGCGCCACCCAGCAGCCTACCATGGACAGCACTGGCAGCGACATGGATCATAGGGACCACGACTACGATGAGGCCCGCCAAGATCTCGACCTCCGCCATCAGCACCGATTCCAGCATTTTCACCCCGACCTGACATTCGATCACGATCCGAGCTCCCGCTCGGGATACGCACACGACGACAACTTCGCCTCGACAGACACTCATGACCATCATGCGTCCAGTGCTATAGACCCGGACGACCGCTACTTCAACGACCAAATGGCCTCGTCTTCCGTTCCGCGTCCGTCGTTGCGCTCGAATGGCGACGGAACGACCCCGAGGCATCCAGTCGTCTCCCCGAATCGAAGTCTGCCCAGGCCAAACAATGCTCGATCAGCGTCAAATCCAGTGGCAGCGACAACGACTGCCAAAGTCCGCCCTAACCCTAACGGCAAGCCGAGCGTCAAGGACCTCAAGAAGCGATTCGATCAGAGTGGAAATGGCTCTTCGATCCCTCGTACCCCCGGGACTCGCACCGACAATGCGTCAGGGCCACGGGTGCAGACGACGTGGAAAGGTGGTGAGGGTGCCAACTCATATGCGAGCGTACGAAGCGGAGGATCAGAGCCAAACTCGAGCGATTCGAAAGCGCGAAGTCAACGACCTAAGTATCTCGCGGAAGATCATATCTCCAGCAATGCTCAATCATTTGCCAGCCGCGTGGCCAAGCCTCGAGCTTCCGGCAATGGCGCCAACTCAAACGCTTCGCCGGCAATGGTTCAACGATCTCCTCAGACGCCATCGCATCCGACGCAGCCACCTCCGGCTTTGACACCCACTACATTACCGCCTCAGGGCCTGCTATTTGGCGAGATTCTCCCGGACCAATACGATACATCGGCACTAGGGTTTGGCATTGAGAGTATTCGTCCCCGACGTGGCTCTGGCCCTGACACACGCGGCTCGTGGTCCCATCAACGAAGCTTGTCAGATCCGTATGTCGAACTGCCATCCGCAGACGCCTGGTACGAACAGATAAGCCCAGTTGAGGGCATACGCCACCACGAAGCGTCTCAACCACCAGCGCCGAAGAGCCACGGGCGGTCCCTCAGCGATGTCGCGTCGCAGAAAGCTCCGCAGCTTCCTTCGAGAAAAGGCGCCACCCGAATACCAACCTCTACATCGCAAACTCAGAATACAACTTCGAGACTTCCCTTGTCTGTAAGGCAACTAAGTACACCGGGGGACTCTTCTAGTGCAGACTCCACCAGATCCAACTCCCCTGCCACGAGCAGACGACCGTATGCGAATGGAAGGGCTTCAAGGGCAACCACTCCGACGGCACGATCTAAGGCACCGACCTCGCGAGCGAAAACGCCCACTCAACCGGCTGGTAGCGGGAGGAGGAGGGCACCGCCCGGGTTGCCAACGCCCAACAGCAATACACGACTGCAGGCGTATATTGCTGCCCCACCACCGAAACTGTCACCACCGTTACGAAGCTCGAGACCTAGACAGCCAGTGTCCATGGCGACCACAGCAAGCTCACGGTCGAAAGCGATAGATAGACCGCCGCGGACGACAGTTGCGACGTCAAGAGCTTCGTCGAGAGCGGCACAGGAGCCAGAAAGCCGCCGCCGAAAGGTGTCGATAGGACCAATAGACTTCGAACAACGACGAGAGCACATACGTCTCGCGTACAGTAAGTCTGTGCGCGAGAGCCAAGCTCTCGAAAGTCGTAAACGGGCGGCGGATAGGAGGCGGCGGGAGCTCGAGGCGGCCACACAAGCGCAAGCAGCAACCCAGTCTTCATCAGCAGCCCCTTCTCCGTTAGCACGCGAGACGTCGACTGCTGAACCTGAATCACCAAGTGATGATACGCCAGTCGAGCACCGGCCGCACGTCCAGGCTGCGTTGGATGCGGTGATTCTTACCGAGTCGCCGGTAGATGTGGATTTCGCCCGTCCTGAGACAATGGCCGCTCCTTCTGAGGAAACGATTCAGCCAGAGGAGTCGTCTGCTGCGCCTCACAGATACCCAGTTCTCGAAACGCCCCCAATGGACGTGCCCGGTAGCTTTCCCGCCTTCAGCCCGCAAACTGATAGAGACGAGCCACCGCTTTCAGCTGTATCGGCAACCACAGAGACTACCGAATTCGACGTTGAACCACAAGACGAACCTTCTAGGCCTGCTACACCACAATCCGACACAGTGCCTTTTACAATCAAACCACCAAGCCCCCAGCAGCTGGCGCCTGTTCGTTCGCGTTCCGAGTACTACTCCCCGTTCGAAGACGATCTTCATTCCCCATCCGTCGACAGCGACAGCCACGAGCCTGTCCAGGTTTCTCGGGTCTCAACGGTCTCAGCAGGCTATGACGATGAGAACAGCATGTCACCAGTGGCCGCGTACGAGGAAAGGTTTAGGATGGATCGCGAACAGCCACCACCAATGGCAAGCTCGTTTAGCACAACTGTCACAATACTGCCACCTCAGCATGCAGCTGATAGCGAGACTATACCTTTCCCTCGGCTCGACATGCAAGACGATTCGGACTGCCACACAGACCTCGACGACACAGCGGACCCTGCGCGCAATTCAGCGTATGGTTATGACAACGCTACGGACACATGCACTGAGGACGCTGATGACCACCTTCCCCTAGACGACTGTCAATCGGAGTCGCAGTGTGACGATCATCGTTCATCGCAGATCCTGTCGTCTTGCGCCACTTCAGACGCTGGTGATGTTGGGTACGAGCCCAACGTGACCGAGCCCACGACCCTCTTGGTTCCCCCATCATGGTCCAACCGCATCAGCCAGCATTCGCAATGGACAGATCTTACTGTAGACAGCCCGTACCCGTCGAGTTTTGATCAATCACCCAACCTGGACGATCCAGAAGAGTCACCGACGTATGGGCACGTTACCATCTTCGGGTCACAAGTCATAGGCCGCGGCAGCGACCCTGGAACGCGCGGATCAGAACACGATTCGCCCCATGCGCAACAGTCTCACACGTCGATCGAGCCCCAGAGATCTAGCACCCAGCAGTTGCCAAACGTTGATGTTGGTGACGACTTTACGATACCGTATCTTTCAGAAAATCCGGCGCGCAGCGCACCCAATATCGGCTTGCCTGAACATGAGCCGCCACCTGTTCCCACCCCTGCCTCAGGCTCCCTTCTGATGTCCAGTCGGTCCAGCGGCTATGATGATCAATCACAGTACGGGAGCACAAGACTGGCCTCAGGCCATGGAAGCGAAGAATTCATGTCACAGCTTGAAACGCCACGCACGATTGACACCAACTCCGTTGGCACACCGGACCAGTACTTTGGCGCCCCCTCATACGACAGTGCAGCGACAAAGGTCGTTGTAGCAAATGGCGACGAGTTGCCAGAAAAGGAGCGGCATCGACTTGTCCAGCGCCGCAACGTTATCAAGGAACTTGTGGACACTGAGGCGGTCTTTGTGCGCGATATGAACATCGTGGAGGAGATCTACAAAGGAACAGCCGAAGCATGTCCCAAGCTTGACGACAAGACTGTCAAGCAGATCTTCCGAAACACCGACGAGATCATTTCGTTCCACACGCATTTCTTGGCACAGGTCAAAGACGCGGCTGCCAATGTCTACGTCATGAAGTCTGGGCGATCATCATCGTCGCGAGATGACGGGAACGAGAGTTCAAGCAAGGCTGAGACCAGCGATGCACAGGATCGTACTGTGCTCCTCGGGCCCCTGTTCAAGAACAATATTGAGCAGATGAAGACAGCCCATGAGGGCTTCCTGCGAAGCAGTGATCAGGCTGCTAAACGTCTCATACAGATCCAGCAGGACCCAACCGTCAAGGTCTGGCTCAACGAGTGTAATGAGGTCGCCAAGGACTTGACAGCGGCGTGGGACCTGGATTCGCTGTTGATCAAGCCCATGCAGCGTATCACCAAGTATCCAAACCTGATCATAACGATCCTGCAACACACCCCGCAGGACCATCCCGATCGAAAAGAACTGGTGGCAGCGAAAGACATTATTGAAAACGCCATCATTGAGATCAACAAGACCAAGAAGAATTTCGAGCTGGTTGGCCAGATCGTTGGGAGGAAGCGCAAGGAGTCCGACGGCAAGAGCGGCTTCGCACGGGCATTTGGAAAACGCGTGGACAAGCTACAAGCCCCGGGCGCGAGAATACCCGAGGATCCCGAATATGCCAAGCTTCATGAGAAATTTGGCGATGACTACTTGCGCCTGCAGGTGGTCCTCAGAGACGTCGAATTCTACACTCGCCAGATTTCTACCTACGTGAGGGAGTTCCTGCAGTATCTCTCTTCCGTTGAGCTTGTCATGAGGATTCAACCGGGCGGGCATCCTGAGCTGGAGAGCAAATGGGTGCAATTCAACATTTCGATACGTGATATTGAAAAGATAGCACTCGAGGAGCACCTGGCACAAGTTCGCAAGCAAGTGATCGAGCCTTTCGAACTAGTCATCAAGGCCTACGGCAACCCCTCGCTTGCCATGAAGAAGCGGCAGAAGCGACGCCTCGACTACGAACGGAATGAGCAACTGAAGCGCGCCGGCAAAAGCCCAGATTCAAAGTTGAAAGATCTGGTGGAAGAATATGAAGCTCTCAATGATACTCTCAAGAAAGAGCTGCCGGCGCTGTCCCGGAGTACAGTGGAGATTGGGAATCTGTGTCTGGTACGGTTTGTGGACATACAGACCAAGTGGTTTCGCATTTGGAAGGAAAAGATGAAGGCAGTGCTCAAGGACAATGAGGACATGCCCGACCTGGACGGAATTGTTAACACGTTCCAACGAGAATTCCCTTATGTGGAGGAGCAGCTAGCCAGCATTGGCATCCTCAACCCAACCACATGGAGCAGACCATCCATGTCGACGTTTGCAAGCACAGACGATGCGTTGTCGCGGAAGACAAGGTCGCCCAGGCCGTCGGATGTTGATACGATGCGAAGCCGGGGCCTGTCCACAACCACAGACTCGGCCCCTTCGCTCCCGACGCCTGACTTTATGAAGCGCGAAAGCAGTACGTCTTCGATATCTCCGGTCGCACCCAAGAACGTCGCAAGCCCCTACCAGTACAATTACCGGGACTACTACGCCGGATTCCCTCCGGCCACGGCTGGCTCGTCGGCTGCCGTCACACCGGAAGTATCTGGCAGCTCGCGATCCGTTCTCGGCGGGACCTCGACACGACCCAGCACCGGACGCAGCTTCGACTCGGGTGCGATTCCTCGGCAGAGCATGGAGTCGCAATCGCAGTATCGCCGCGACTCGAGTGCCACGTACAACTCGTCCACAATGCCGCAAGAAGGTCGCCGATTCTCTGGGCTCTTCCACTCGGCCTTGCCTCTTCCTGACGGGCCGGAGGAAAACAAGCCATCGTCGTCGAGAGCATCATCTATGGATCGCGGTACGGCTCATGATGGGTATAACGTACTATGGCTCGCCGCATCCCTATTTGAGTTCAACATTGCGACGACAAAGCACGAAGCCGGCTATCCCTATTTAATATACCAGGCAGGCGAGGTGAGTTGCTTCCGGGGCATCTTTTGATGGCATGGCTGACATTTCCAGATTTTCGACGTGATTGCCGAAAAGGGTGAGCTCTGGCTTGCCAAGAACCAGGACGATGCCAGTGAACAGGTCGGCTGGATCTGGTCCAAGCACTTTGCCAAGTTGGCAGACTCATGAATGCACATACTTCACGAACAGCGAGCGCAGCATGTCCACGATACCAATTGCAGCAAAAGAAACCCACCTCAGGACGGGTGGTTCATCACCATATTCTCTCACGCAGCGATGTACAGCGTCACACAAACTCACGACAACAGCTTTTGCGGTTCTTCAGACATATTCAAGCCTCTTTGATGCTGTTTTCCTCCCGAATTTTCTTCTCAATTTTCTTCGTCAGGCGTTGCGGAGCGAGCGGATGCCCCCTTCACGAGGCAGCAGTTGTACACACTGGCATCAGGTATCAAAGGGGGACGCACGAGGTCCAGTCGCCGTCATTGCACGGACAAAGAAGGCTTGGACGCCGGGGCGTTCGACAGGCGATGCATGGTACAGTACTCCATGGTCGGTACAGGAGATGCAGGGATGGCGCGACGGAAGCTGATGAACCTGATTTTCCGAAATAAGATACCAGTCCATGCTACAGTAACAATGAATCTCGATTATGAACGGTGCTGGCCTAATGGTTGTGCTTGTAGTCGCTTACCTTACCCCACGTTCCCCAATCGAGACAGACCCATTAATAGTCTAGACTAGGATTACTTTAGCCAAGACCTCTGGCGCATTAGCATCTCTAGTCGATTTACACACTTCCAAGTTCCACCTTGGCATCATTGCTACATACGCGATCATTACGCACCGCTGTACTCGCCGAGAATCGCCATTTCTCTTGAATTGCGCATACTGCCAAGGCACAAGCGGTCTCCCGAAGACAAGCCATGCGCTACCTCGCCACGCAGAGACTCTGACGCCCGCGCAATGGCGACGTGGACGGGAACACCGGGTGTGAGGGGAGGCTCAGAGACGGCGCAGATGGCGCTGCTCACGTTTGGTGCTATTGGGATAACGTGGGTACTCTCACACACACAATCAATCACCATGCGACGGCTGCGATGGCTAACGAGAGCAATGCAGGTTCACGTGGGGTATCGAGATGACCTGTACGGTACCGTCGACTGCGACAACATGCTGCTATGCTAAACAGTGACCATAGACTGCACGCCCTACCTCCTCGACCTCGGCCTCACAAAGTCAAACACATCTCTCGTGTGGATCGCCGGCCCTCTCTCTGGGCTCATTGTGCAGCCTGTTGTGGGCGCGCTCGCCGACGCCTCTACCTCGAAATACGGCCGGCGACGACCACTCATGCTGCTCAGCACCGCCATGGTCGCGGTGTGTCTGTTTGTGCTGGGTTTCACAAAGGAGATTGTGGGCCTGGTGCAGGCAGACGAAGAGAAGGCTAAAGGACCGACGATTGCGCTGGCCGTGCTGGCCATCTACGCGGTGGACTTTGCGATCAACGCTGTGATGAGCTGCTCGAGGAGCCTCATCGTTGATACGTTGACAGTGGACAAACAGCAGACAGGAGCCGCCTGGTGTAAGCAATGACCCTCAGTCAGGTGTTGCGGTGCTAACAGGAGGCAGTCAGTAGGATGTCGTCGGTAGGCCATGTCGTTGGATACGGCCTCGGCGCTGCCGATCTCGTCGGTATCTTTGGCGAGTGGATGGGCGACACGCAGTTCAAGCAGCTCACGATTATCGCCATGGTCTTCATGGTGGTCACCAACGGCATCACGTGCTGGGCTGTCACGGAGCGCGTGCTCGTGGCGGCGCCGCCCAGCGATGTCAAGGGGCACTTTCAGATATTCCGACAGATCTGGTCCACCATTCTGAATATGCCGCCTCGCGTCCAGGCCATCTGCAGGGCGCAGTTCTGGTCGTGGCTGGGCTGGTTCCCTTACATGTTCTACGGGACGACCTGGATTGGCGAGACGTACTTTCGCTACGACGTGCCCAAGGACGCGGTTGCATCCGGCGACATGCTCGGCGACATGGGTCGCATCGGGAGCACGTCAATGGTCATCACGTCGATGATTACGTTCACGTCGGCATTCGTCTTGCCGCTGCTGGTGGAGTCGCCGGACAGGAAGAGTGCGACGCCGTGGATGCCACAGTCCATGTCTGGGTTCGTCGCGAGGCTGGGCAAGTACAGGCCCAACATCTTGACGACATGGATCTTTGGGCATCTGGTGTTCTCTGCGGCCATGTCCCTGGCGCCGTTTGCGACGAGCTATCGCTTTGCTACATTACTCGTCTGTCTCTGTGGGCTGTAAGTCAACTCACCCTCTCTGCCCTGCCGCGTGCCGATGCTAAACTTCCATCCAGGCCGTGGACGATTGCTATGTGGGCGCCTGTGGCCCTGCTGGGGGTCGAGGTCAACCGCATGAGCACAGATGGCGCTTCCACGCCACCTCAGTATCGCCGTGTATCCCACAATGACGACAACATTGACGGAGAGGACGAGGACGACATTGAGATGCTGTCAGCGGAGGATCCCATGCACGCACCCGAGGTCAAGGCATCGGGTGAGTTGTCGGGGATCTACTTTGGCATCCTCAACATATTCACCACCTTGCCTCAGTTTGTTGGCACCTTTATCAACATGATTATTTTTGCCATCCTCGAGCCTGGCAAGAGCCTCGACGTGGGCGTGGGCCACGGAGGCGTGAGTGCTGGTGCTGGTAGCGGCGACACGTCTGCTCCCGAGGACGCGTCGGAACCCACTAGAGATGGGCCAAATGCCATCGCAATCAGCCTGTTCATTGGCGCAATGAGCACGGTCTACGCGGCTTGGGCTACCAGGAAGTTGAGATATCTGTAGATGTTCTTGAGATTTGGCGTTTTGGGATCTATAATGGGATACGCGGAAACAAGGAGTTAACCAGTCATCGAAGCTATCCATGTGCGCACTGTCGTGAATCATGCACAAATGCCGCTGGGGATGCTGATGGTTGCATATGCAACCTTCAGACTCTTGTGTTACGCCTCAGTGGTACGAAATGATCGATCGTCAGGCTTGTGCAGTTCAAATATTGGACACTGTCATAACCCTCATCCCAGTCCGCATGAGCTACTGGTCCTTCTCCTCGCTACCCTCAGAGACCTTTTCCCACTCATCCTCCGTACTCACGCTCGACTGCGAGACCTGCGAATCCTTCTCCTTCGCCGATTCCACCTCAAGACCCTTCCTCTGCGAGAGACCCTGTGTCGCCGGCTGCATCTCGACCTCCTTCGAGGCACTCACGCCCTCTGTATCCTTCTCGGGAATGGGCTTGCTCCCCTCCTCCACTTCCGTATCGCTCCCGTCGTCCCTCCTCCTCCTCTTGTCCTCCTCGGCCTTGTCCTTGGCCGCCTGCTCCCGTTGGACGATGGCGAGTTCGGCGGCAAACCAGTTGACGCTCCACCAGAGACCTGCGCAGATGATCGAGAGAATGACGCAGTGAATCGAGTGGGTGGCAAAGAGCAGGCCGGCGAGGGTGAGCTGCAGAGCGAGAAAGGTGGCGTTGGCCGCGCGCAGTAGGGTCGGCGTGGGACCTGGGGTGAAGATGGACTCCCAGAGGTCGGTGACAAAGCTCGCCATTCTGTTGTTTGTCTTGGGACAAGGTCTCGATATTGTAGAGGGCTGTGTGGTGTCTTGCGGGGATGGAAAAAGTCGGTGATGGTCGTCGTCGCGGTTCGTTGGGCGCGGTGGGCCAAGAAGGGGTCCTCCTGATGACTTTATCGACGAGGCATGCACGCCCTTGGTGCCTAATGATGACTGACGACTGGACACGTGTGCTGCGCGTGTGGGAGGCCGACAGCGTGTCTCTTTGCTCGCGATGACTGTGTGGGCGTGATTAGGAGGACAGGCTGGCCGAAGCGGACGCGCCGGACGATGCTGGATCTGTGGTGAAGCTCAGCATTTCCGGTCAAGTCTTAGCGAAAGTGGGGATAGCTACAGGTGGATGAGGGGGGCCACACAATGAAGCCTGAGGTGCACAAGGTATAGTTAGTTGGTTTCTACGCACCCTATACACGCTCACTGCTGCCATGAAAACTTCAATTCCGGCCCCCACCATGGTCTAAGATGTACAATTTGGAAGATTTTGGTGTTCTGCAAGTTGTCTTGACATTTTGCTGATTAATTTGAGACTACTACTTGAAAGGTGCAGTCGTTGGCAAGCTGTGCTCTTGTGATGATTCGCAAAGAGCTGACAAAATCGAGCAATGTAAGGGGTGTTTGCGTCTACCATTCATGTTGTTACGAGAATACCGATTTACACAAAGGAGGCTTTACTATGTCCGTTGTTATGGCGTGTCACACAATGCCATAGAATTGTATACATGCTCGGAATGTCACTTGTTGCTACGGATCGGGCAATATCTAGGAAGAGGTATCTGGTCACGTTGAGCAGGCGGCCTCCACATCAATACAGGATGCATCGAGGAGTAAAGCAGTGTTGCGGTAAATGGTCAAATAAGTCTCTTGGGGCATCGTTGTGGTCCCTGGGGAAGAATTAGAGCGTGAGAAGCAGTAAGTTGCATGTGCCATAGGTCGCATGGCTTCATGAGTGCCATCATTGGATCAGTCACTCGAAAAGGACCGTCGTAAACAGGGACAAGGGGAGGCTTCTCTGTCGGATTGACAGCGAGTATCCAAGCTGTCACAATCTGAAATAGGAGATTGTGATCAAGGAGGAAGATTCTTTGCTTGAGCATGCCTTGTTCCATTGCATTACGACTGAAGGGGGCATGAGCCAACGTCAAGTGTTACGTACACTTTGATCGTGGCTGGACCGATATGGCTGAAAAACTTGCGGTATTTTGATTCAAAGCATGAGACGATAACAATTAATATCAAGAAGATGTGTTTCCCTTCTGTCGACACTACTGACGACGGAAAGTCCCGAGCTTTCCATGCAGGTGGATATCCCAGATTTCAAAAACACGGAGAAGTGTCATATCAGCTTGCTGTCACATCTAGTGTAAATACACGGAACGATGCCACCTCATGATATCGCTGCCGTGCTCTTTCGGCACATGACACTGTGGTGACACTCGCCAGACAAATCGCTGTGCTTCGCAGGGAATGCAGGCGCTGTCGAAGGAAAGAAAGTCGTATGGCGATAAAAGCTTGTCGATACTCTCACAAGCCTAGAACTAACCACCTAGTAGGCTCTCAAGCCTTGAAGCATGGCTCAGTCATCCGCGAACAGCATCGAGTACAGCTGCACCTTCTCTTGTCCTTCTCTCGCACTTTAACGTCTCCCCAGGCGGGCTTGACGCAGGAGCAACATCAACTCGGTTTTCTGCGAATCTAGAAAACTGAGAAGCCCCTCGTGTCTTACCCGGAACCATAGGAGAAGGCATAACGCTTCATCGCGGGAAGTCATCAGGAAGACGAGACTGGAGCCAGCCCCGCCTCCGACCTTGTCATTAGTAGTCCTAACCAAAGAAGTATCAGCCAGGACTGCGCGCGCAAGGCTTGGGTCATCGCTGCTGCCTGCGGCCTGCCTGATAATTAGTCAGTGTCGCCCCGGCTATCGCGCACGCTAGGCAGACAGCAAGGGGCCAGGACCAGGGGGCCACTGAACTAGCTGCTACTACGTTACGCAGCACGCGACGACGAGTCTTGCACGGTGCACGGCCAAGAGCACGTAGACACCTCGCTGTGCCGTCCGTGCATGATGGGGGTCTGAGAGCGAGAAAGGGTCGTGGTCTGAGCTTCTCAGCATAAAGGAGCCAAATTTCGGAGTCTCTGGGAATGCGGCCCTAGGCAGTTGAGGCGTGTCTTGAGGTTGGTCAGTGCTCGCTCAATGCATCTGCGGCCACGGATCCCCATCTCCAAGAATGGGACTGCCCGGCCTGGTTGCACTTGCAGAGTATGCATGTCAACGACACGGCACTGAAGATGGCCCGTCTACCTACATGTACTCCGAACGAGGTCGGCGAAGCCCCGTGTCACTCAATAACAGCACACGCACATGGAAACGTTGATCGCACAGCTGATGCGCGTGAGCCAGAAAAACTCCCGATGCTTCTGCTCGGCCTATTGAATTTAGCTCACGGATTGTCCAAGTAGGCAAGCTTCTGCACGTGCTGCAGTCGTAATGCCGAATCTGATCCCGGCATCCTTCAGCGTCGTCTTGGCCAGTGCTGAGACTGCAAGGCCTCACTTCTTCAGCATGTCCGAACCCAAAGTGACTCCTCGACAAATCAAGTCGCCGCTCTGCACCATACGTGCAATCGTGCATCTCGAGCCTCGAGAGCTCGGACACAGCGTGGCCGTGGGGGTCGCCACGGTCTGGCATCTCGCCGACCTGCGGCAGTCACATCGGGGATGCAGCTGGATAAAAACACGTACGCATTGTCAGCTGTGTGCCAAGGCCAAGGTCAGGGCGAGGTCTTGGTCAACAACAAGCCGTTTCCTGCGGATCTGATGCATGCGTTGAACTCCGCCAGGGACCGACTCACACAATAACATCTCGCTGGGAGGCGTTTCATGACACTGACCGTATGGATATTCTTGCATATAGATACCGCAAGGATTCGGAACTCATCGTGAACAGGATAAGCCTTGACTACCGCACCGCCTTCATGTTGAATCGTGGCGGCGGTCAGAGCGAAGTACGTATCAGTGGACGAGAGCTGAATGGTAGTCCCCGAAGAAACATGAAGATTGGCCACCACACCAACTCACCAGGATTCTGAAACACAGATGTGGGATCAGTCACTGACAGATCTTCTGAATTGGGATCGTCTATGCGTCCAGAGGGACCGCTAGCGAGTTCATGTGGTTCACTTTGGTTGTCTGCATGCAGAAATGACGTCTGTGAGTCTGTGGCAGGACCGCGTGCGACAGCCGGGGGGGCAGACTGGGGGTTGACGGACGACCCGAAGGCAACATTGAACCATTGTGACGATCAATCATGCGACACTGGAGTCGGTGGACAGTGGCGAACATCTCCACTCGTGAGAGCAAGCCCACGTGCGGCGCCCGCCTGTGACCAACAAGGCCTCCAGGTCAGCGAGCTGGATTGAAACGCTGGGGTGGATTCCTGGTGACATTGGAACAGTATGCGTGGCAGTGGTCTTTGCTGGAGCCAATTTCCACGATTGTTTCGCGAGGCAATGGATCAATGCAGTGGTCGATGCTGTCAAGTGGCTGATCAAGAGTTAGCATGCTGTCAAGACCCCAAGAGTCAAAACCGATCCGTGACGGGCCGAATTGTCAGCTTGGGACCCCGACTTCCAAGGAACAGGCATATGTAATTTAAGGTACAGACAGGTTGACAGCTTCAACAAGAATCAAGATGGGCGCCGAAACTCGCCCATCACCTCTTCCCCATGGTTACCAGGACAGGGCGTGGACTGGAAGTTCTGTACCAGCCAGGTCAGGCATCATCGGCTACTGTCAGAGGATCGCAATCCTAGACGGGAATCTCAAGGTCGACAACGGCTGTCGAGGCATCGAGGTTGTTGTGACGTCTGGACTCAACTCCGGTCAGAGACTCTCAGAGCCAGCCACACCACCAAGTACGAACTTGTTGCATGATGTGCATATGGCGGCAATGAAGGCCCCCTCATTTCGCGCGCCCAGGTGAGCTGGGCAGTAAGGCGACCCTGGTTCGTCCAGCTGCTGTCAGGCTCTCCATCTCAGCCACCCGCGATGCCTGCATTTCATGTGTGTATTTTGGAATCGACGGTCAGCCCGCCGGGCTATGTGGCGTGTTTCAAAATACGTGGGACATGTCGATCAACAAGATACAACCCTGCGATCCTGGCACTCGTTGATGTCAACAGCACAGCATAGACGACCATGTCCTGGCGATCCGGCTACTTCCACAGAAATAGAACTGCGCTCTCTGTCCATAATTAGAAGCGGAGCGTGATAAAGACTTGGACGCAGTCAGCATCGCGTGTCCAGGCCACGACTGCTACTACGTAAGGTACTGCAAACCAAATACCGAACGAGCTCAAGTGTATGGTGTATCTGGCGTCAACTGCCGCGGCCCGGGAACCACAATCTCCAGGATCGCCGTCCTGGATGGCAACACATCGTGAAGTATTAACAAATCGCAGGTTTCCAATGCATGTGTCGCGCGTTGCACTCGGTACTGCAGTGCGCTCTCGGGGCCGTGTTCGGGAGGACGCTCGCACTTGGTCCTCGGGGCCGAACCGGGCGCGACGCCCTACCTACCAAGTGCCGGCGTCCTATGGAAGCCGAAAAAGAAAGGTTTCGGGCTTTTCAGCTTGTCTCTAAAAGACTAAAGTTAGTCGGAAGATTCAGATCCACAGACACGGCACGGTAAGGTTGCTATCGCGCGCGCGAGACGGCAGAGCTTCGGGTGCGATCGTTTCCTGCCCGACCCCGCCAATGGTAAGGCTACGCTACGCTAGGCTGGACCTAAGTTAGCCCTGACGCCACAGGGCGATCCGCTCTGCATGACACTCAACCTAGATCATGTAGTTGTGTTTCGCAAAGCTTCAATGTTCGAAGTTCCAAGCAGTGTAAGAACAGCAAGTTAGGTGGTGCTCAGCTAACACTAAGTATACGTACGTATGTTGCAGTAGGATTGATAAAGAATAATGGATGCTGCAGGTACTCAAGGCCAGAGTTGTGCAATGTTGTAGTACAGGACATGTATCTTCCAAGTGCCGGGTGATTAGTGCACTCGTCCATGGCAATGATCAGGAAATAACTCGATCAGACCGATTCCCCATTGCTGACACCAGCCCCCGTTCATCTTGATGGCATGGATGTTGATTATACTTAGCCCTTGAAGCAACAAAGGCCCGACTGTTGCAGTACAAGTGCAGTAGACTCTACGGAGTAATTAGAGCAGACCGCTGAAGCGGGACGTCGGTTCCCGCTCCAAAGGCGCTAATAGTCGAATTGCCAGATTGGGCGATTCGCTAGAAGCCTTCATCATTCAGAGTCCGGGGGGTGGCGCGCTAGGCAAAGGCAGGCCACTCATGAGCCACGCGGTGTGCTTGGTGTCCATGCCCTCTGGCTGCTGGGGTCCCCGATCTTCTGGCTTACAGTGTAGACATTATGATGGAGCATTGCTACTGTAGTTTGAATGGACGCGGTAATGATCGGCTTGCTGCCTGCGTGGCTCGCGCTTGTTTCGCTGCACGCCCGTTGTTACAGACATTCGATCGGCCGCCCGAGTGCGACGCTGGTCTGCGCGAGGAAAAAAAAGGGGTGCTTGGGTAGGCAAGATGACACCTTGGTCATTATTCAACTGTCCTCTTTGATGCGACGGTGAGCAAGATGTTCAAAGATTCAAATGAGAGGCAGACTGACATGGGGCTTAACAAGCTGCGATTCCATGTCAGTGGGGCTAGTGCGAGGGGGCCACTGCTGACATGTGCAGCACGATCAGGAATACCCTACAAGTTACGGTGTCCATGTCCAGTCGTCTCCATCGTGCCCAAAGGCATCATGATCGACGTCATTAGGGTTTGCTGCCATGTGGTTGTGCCAACCGCAGAGGCAAAACGAATTGCACCCCGAATCACTGCAACTCTCGAAAGACTTTGGTGAAAGCAGCAAAGATCAGCAGCCTCGTGCCCTTGCATTACACCGACTTCAACAGCAGGGCCTCTCGCCGTGAGCAATAACTGCTTGCCATGGACACGCTACATGTCGAACCAGTCTCCCATGCTCGCCTGGTTTCGCCACGGCCTGGGAGTCTGGCATATGGACAATGCAGCGAAAACGACAAACGAATCTGATGTATATAGTAATTATCACAAAGGGACAGCATCAATCACTCACTCATCATAATGACTGCTGGCGGTTGCTGTCAAGGACTGGACCTTCTACTTGCACCCCCCTGTTCGCGACTTTTAGGCAGCCGGATACATCACACTCTGATAGGCCGGGAATGAATGCTACAGCACCCGCTGTTGATCACCCATGCAACGCCCACTGGCTGCGTCTAGTCCCGCTTGGCCCCCGTCGATCTCCGACCGGGGTATCGGGCGTGTGTCCACTGCCGCTGCGAGACACATCCCATTGGCCGCACTGACGCCATTGGCGCCAAGCCAGGTCTCCAGGTACGTACGTACGTCTGGCATCAAACCGACTGTTCCTGTCATCTTTTTGCCAGCATTCCATTTGTTCTGCCTGGCTCATTGCTTGTCGCAACTAATCCCGAGGACCACATTCGTTGCGAGAGCGTGGAGGGCTGTCCTGACTCCCGGCTGTGCACCAAAACAACATTACTTTGGTCATTCCGGCTAACACACGCCTTGCACGCCAAAAGAGGTGCCGCCCGTTGGAATGCACGTGGATGGATCGTTACGGAGGTTCGAACTTTGAAGATGGGTCCCCCAAATTTGCCATCATGCAGTAAGTCAAGTAGAGACAAAAGGTCCCGAACACGGCACACCTCCTCCTTTACAGATCTCTGTCTACCAAGGTGTATGTGCTAAATGCTCTCGTCTGGCTCTCTAGGGCAAAGCGTGCCACCTACTACCTACTACATGGCCTAATTGACTTTATTTAAGCCAGAAGTCTAAATTAACTGTACTGGCAGATGCCGAACAACATCACCATCCCAGGCACCACCACCATTCCTAGAACAGGGGCTGGCAGCACGTCGTTGAACATCGTGCAGATGGCGTTAATGTCTAGCTTCACTAGACTAGATAAGGTCGATCACGGCTGTCGCCGGTGAAGTCCTTCAGCCAAATCATCACCACGGACTCCCGTGTAGAACTTTTGGACTCGAGACAAGCCGTGGCTGGCACCCAATAACCCCAGCGATCGCCAGCACCCGTCTGCAGCCGCTGCTTGGCTGCACATGCCAGACACGCCCCGGGATCCTCATCCTCCAGCCATATGCTCGACGGGTATATTCATGTTGGCAACAAATCCTTCAACACTATGTGCTGCATGATAGCGTTTTGAAATCAGATTTGGGTGTCGTTTGCGATCAGTCAATGGTTCCCAATTGGACGCTGGCACCACGTTGGCGCGTTTAGCAGTAAGTGACAGGAGAAAGTGGATGCTACGAGTAACAAATCCTGGAAATGCGGGATATCGCGGGGTTGCGTAGTCTAAAACCACGCGGAGAAATTCGTCTAGGTTCGTGGTATCATCACCCTTTGCACGCTGGAGTCCAGGACTCACTTCCAAGCACGACGGTCTTCCTCGCTAGATCATGCCAGCTTGCGCTTCTATTATCTTCATGTTCGCGGGAAACGTGCCTCCTAGAACACTGGCAGGACCCTGAGACCCTCAAAACAGGGCTTTGTGGCTCCAGTCTTCCCTGAGATGAGTGGATCGGGGTGCCCGCCTTGGTACATACATGTATTGGTGGGCTATCATAAAAGGGTTTCAGTCATACAGTGGATGGGCCAGCAAGGCGCGGCAAGGCGAGGGAAGGCAGAAGGCAGGCAAGGCAAGGCAAGGCAAGGCGAAACAGGGCAAGAGCAGCTGGCAGCCAGCTCAATTCAGATCAGGCCAGCCCATCTCGATGCGATTAAAACATCTGCCAGATGCCCCCCTTCGCCAAGACAAGACAGGACAACTCCTCGACGAGGTTTGGCCGCGACAACTCCACGCCAAGCCAAAGCCAGCATATTGCCGGCTATCGTCATCTCACGCACACCAAGATTAGAACGTCGAAGATAGGAATGTAACAACACCTAAAATTGCGAAGATGACTCCACAGGCACTGATATGAAGTCAGTTGTCACTTGTCAGCGTAACATACGGACTGCCAAATGAAGGACCCCTGTCGCCTTTCACCACTGCCGCGCTGCAGAACAGCACGCGCGCCAGCGAAGACACCCAAGTGAGCGTGGCATTGGGAAGCCCCCCCGGCGCCGTGAAGGCACGGACAGTCCATGTCCATGTCGCTGCTTAGACCGCCTCTCGCACTTCAAACAACTAAGAATCCACTGTGATACAACGGCGGCATACGCCGAAATCTCATGGTGAATGCTATCATTTGCGGACCTCTGCAAAAGTACAGGCATGGTCGTCTAGAATCTAGACGGTTTTCCTCTAATACCCTACCGGCAGAGGGAAGGGAGTCGAGGACCAAGAGCCGGCTATGGAGTGGTGTGGGACAGACTTGGCCAGACAGGTCCATAACAAGTCATGGTGGCAGAGGCCAAAGAAAGCTGCTAGTGGGTGAGGACGAGGTCTGTGTGTGTGTGTGTTGGCTGCCGACCCCGAGCGCGCGCTTCTGTAAGCGATCAACAAGCGTACGATACGGATTCAGACAAGTAAGGTACATGTACGTATCCTTTCCCGCTTACGAGCCCGCCCAGGCACTTGCACATACAGTAATTAACTTGGAGCCCGCTTAGGGGGCACGTTCATCCACACAAACCACCCCGGTTGGCCTGCATTTCTTGGCTCTGCTGGCCTAGGGCGCCGAAACGTGCGAACATTTGGGGCCTGGGCAAAGGTGGCCATGAGAGCATCTCAGCAGGAACGCGTTTCTCGGCCTTCAATTTGCTGCGCGGCAAGCCATTTTGATTGTTCGGGGAATTCGTACGACCCCTGGGAATGAGGAGGAGAAAAGTTACGCACTTGCGAGCACGATGTGAAGGTTCGCGAGAAGTGACCGGAGCACGTTTCTCTCCACAATCTTTACAACTAAACCCACTTCTTACGGGACAAGCAGGCCCACGCCCCCTACAGTCTGAGCAGCAGAGTGCTGATTCACACACCCTCCAGAGTTCAATCCCGCACAGACACGCAGACACGTTCAGGCTCACCTTCATCTTCTCCTCTTCTAATAAGAATTGGTGTTGTGCGGCAGCTGGAGATACACTATGTTGTGAGCTGCGAACAAAGGAAACCGGATGATCATGGCTCTTTTGCTAGACCACGCCGTCGAGCCGACCCATGCTGCCTGCGAGAAGACTGGAGGGTACCTGTAGTTTCTCCTCCCGTTTCTCACTGTCTAAATCTGGGTACACGTCGAGAACTTTAGGCCAGTGCCAGTCCGTCCGGAAATCGCCAGAGGGTATGGACTACGGAGAACGCCCAAGCGAAATGGAGCCTGGACTGGAGCAAGCCAGATGTCGGGTAGCCCACCCGCTAACCTCTTTCATGCAGCGCACTTCTGCTGCCGCGACAGGGCAGAACAAGACAAGGTACGTACCGCCTGTGGAGTTTTCTGCTCGATTGCGCCCCCCTTCGACTTTGCCCTGCCATTTTGCACTTGCTCATGCTTGTCCTGCGTTGCCCCATGTTCAAGGCTTCAAGCTCACTTGGCAAGGCCCCCAGGCCCCTGGCCCCCCATGCCACGTCTAGCGCACAGGGGGGCCACCCCGAGTACCAAAGTACCGACAGGGGATGGCCACAAGCCGCTCATCGTGGGCTGCCCCCGTCGTCATGCCCCCCCGAGTAACCATCAAGGCTGCTCGCTGGCTGTAATTAATGAACAACTCCACCTCGAACTGGATGTGCCGCATCCATATAAGCCCTCGATACGTCCGATACTTGGCTCAAGCCTGGATCGATCTGTCCAACGTCTGACTCTACCTAACCTCACTCAACACCAAGCGATACTGATATATACATCCAGCCTCATCTCAGGCCCAAGACGCCTATACCTGCCAGGCACTCTTCAGTCTCAGCCCTGCTCGCCTTACTTCGCCTTACCCGACCTCTCCAACATCTGATCAACATCCACTACCTTGCAACAACACTGTACATCTTGTACCACTCTGGTCGAGATCATCGCTCACATCGCCATCACAAAGGTCGAAAGAGTCGACGACCTCGTCCTACTTCGACCCTGCACCTGAAGCGTATCAGATACTCTGTGTGCTTTGCTGCTGCTTCCCGCATCCTGTCGTTCCCCATTGGGGCCTCGTACCAGATCCTCTTCCCTAACCTCTTGCGTCTCGCAACAACACCACAACAATGAGCGCCGTCGCCCTCCCCTTTGACCCGGCCATGGGTCTTGGTCCTCGACCTGCCCCCTTCACTTGGCCTGGTGAGTGGAATCAACCGCGATCAGCATACGACCTCGAAACTTACAGCGCCTCCTCAGCTGGTCCCCTCGAGCCCAGCGCATCGCCAGAGGGTGTCATTGCTCAGGAGTTTCCGGCACCATACCATCACGGGTCCGACCCCAGCCTCACTCCCCCCAGCGTGACCAGCTCGTTGACATCGAGCCCTCCGCGACACCACAGCTTCACCCCGCAGCACCGCGAACTCAAGCGCCAACAAGACCGCGCGCGGCGAGACTCGCGACTGGCCTCACGGCTCCGCCGCGTGAGCAGCCAGACATCATACATGGAGTCCCCCAGCATGTCACCCATCCCAGACGTCACCAACGCCATGGAGATGCCCAGCTACTCTGCCTCGACGGCACCAGTTTCTATCCTATCCGAATCCGCGCCCATCGCGCCACAACCGTACATGCCTTCATACAGCCCACCACTGCAAGACCACAGCCAGGCGCAAATGTTCCCTACTTCATACGCGCACTCGTTACCGCAGAGCTACGGCGTGCCCATTGAATACTCGGCCAGCCCGTACCCACCGTCGGGAGGCTACAGGTACGTTTTGAGCCCCGCAAGGCCACTTGGCCGACAATCTGCATGTGACGGTAAGCTGACATGGCATCCACAGTAGCCGTTCCTCGTCACTGTCCATCGGACAAGAGAGTGGCATGGTGTATCAGGTACCGGCAGTCATGACTTCTGGTGGCGCTGCGAGCCACACGTCGACGGCGGCCACCTCGACAGAGGGTAGCCACGTCAGGGTCGTGCAGAGCAGGCCCAAGCCCAAATGCTGGGACCATGGCTGCAACGGGCGTCAGTTTTCCACATTCAGCAACCTTTTGCGACACCAGCGTGAAAAGTCGGGGCAAGCCAACAAGGCATCGTGCCCCAACTGCGGTGCCGAGTTCACTCGGACGACGGCACGTAACGGGCACATGCTGCATGACAAGTGCAAGCAGAGGAGAAACTCGTGAAGAGCGCGCGGCTTGACCGGCTCGATGCGCGACGCACGTCGTCTATTCTCGGATGTTCATGTTCTCAGTCATCAATCATTTGGGGGCCAAGAAACAAGCAACCAACACCCACATCAGCACCCACAGTCACACGCTCTCCCGCATTGCATTGGCTTCAGTTGCCCAGCCGTCGCCTTGTGCGACGCTGGGTCTGACGATGCTGCTAAGGCTGAGCTAATGAGCCTCCCCCTCTAGAGTCCACACCTATCACTGTTGGGTGTAACGGATCAGGGAGTCAGTCCCACGGGAAGAAAGCCACAACGGGACTTTTTTTTTTCATCTTATTTGAGTGGTGACCGCTGCGGTCCAAGGCCCCGCCCTTTGAGGTAGTGCGCTTGTTCTTCTTCTTCTTTTTCGACGGTCCTGTATATGACCTATTTCTTCTTTCACGACGGCAGTGTATCTGATCGACTCCTTTGTGAGGAGAAGGCGGTCAGATCTTGCCTGACCTTGTCTCATCAAAAAAGAGAGAGACTGGCGTTTTCTGTGGCATGGGTTTTGGACGGAAATGGGATGGCGCTTGCGAGTCCCTGCCGAGTGGAGGGGGCGCTATTTGGAATTGGAGAAGCATGCTTACATTGTGGATTACGAGGTCCTCGCGATGTGACCACGACGGCGACGCAAGGCAATCCGGACTCTGTATGAGTAGGATATGACGGGATGGAACATGAACCACGGGCGTTCGATATCGGGCTTGCTTTTTTCTTCTTCTTCGTTCACCAGCGCATACACATTTGTTAAACGCAACTTTATATATATTAGCACGCTTAGATAGATAGTCAAATACCCCGTCTTCAGACCATGAACACAAGAAACAACAGGAATGCACAAGGTGAACTGCACCCTGACAAGTGTCTGTTCTATGGTGACGCCATGGGATGCCATTCTTAGACTTGCCCATGCATATTATTGATAACATGAATGCAGCTCTGCGTTAAGCGCAAAGGTCGACTAATGGATTTGAAGTGATTGACTGCTCGCATCAAGCGACAGTGACGTCAATGGCACTGGGGCGTCTGCCGCGCTTATTGGCCAGTGGGATACAGAGACCGCCTCACGCGGCCACAGCATTGACTTACATGTACGTACTTATTCGTGCCTACTTTTAGCACGGACGAGCAGGTCATGGTGAATAGGTCCGCCCATGTTCCTCAGAGACAGAGATGCATCATTGCACAGCCGGACGGGCCTGTCGCACATTTGTTGCTCTTTTGCACACACCTCTGCTTCGGGAACATACGGTCACGAAGCCGTTAGCGAGATGATGCTGCGGGTACTTGGCACCATCTTTCCCCCACTCCTCGCGGCAATTCGGTAAGGCTTCAGCGCGCACGCGCACCAGGGTCGTCAGCTGTCAATCCTTTCGCCTGGCAGCGTGCGTCAATGTGTTGGTTGTTGTTACGGATGGTGCTATGCCAGATCTATACCTCAGCTACCGTTGACTTGGCTCCTTGTTCAGGAACCAACCGCCCCCAAACCATGCATTTATGTTTCTTCAAAGGGCTGGCGCATTTAGTCCCATTGCCACAGTGAAGCCAAGCGGCCGCCGCATGTGGAGACGAGAGGGGATGAGTTGGCAGCACGAGAGACTGAAGTTCTGAACAGAGCACGTGCTATGGTTGCAGGCGCACCTTATTAAGCGCAAGGCTCAAACGAACAAAGGTGCCCTCCCGTACGGGTAATTTCGACACCAGTCGTTTTCCCCGAGGTGCATCGCGATCGATGGGCATTCAGCAACCCTTTCGCGCTAGCCCCTCGGACAGGTGAACGGCTCCAAGTTCGCCTGTCTGTCGCGGCATTGACTGCGCTAGCGCTGATGGGCGAACTCTGAAAGGGTTCGGCATAGATAATTGGGATGTCGTTCAAGTGTAATCACTGGTGGCGCGGATACTCCGTAAAGTGGTCACGTACTTTGCTGAGGTCGCAAACGAGATGGAGAAGCTCTTCCCCATCCAACCATCCAGAAATCGTACCGCACTTTGACAGGTCCAAGGGAGGGTGTGTGTGTGAGCGGACAACTCCCGAGCGAGCCAATCCGTGCTCGAGAAGGCCCATGGCGTGTTCCACTATTGAAGCTTCAAGTTCAATTGGGTTCGCTCAGATGGGGGCTAAGTCTTGCGCGAACTAGGCTAGAGGCGGTAGAGGCTGACAGGGACCAGGGTAGATCGATTGCCCCGAAACCTCTGTCGTTGAGCGCGGGATGGCGCGATGGTCTGTGCTCAATCTGTCGCTCGCTACTCTGCCAGCGAGATCCGGGCTTCGCCTTGCCTGCGCGCTGTGCTGTGCGAGTGGAGGACATGGAGGAGGTGGTGTGTGCAGGCGTGCGTCTGGCACCCTGGGAGCCTGCCATGCTTCCCGCCTGCAAGACAAGATGAGGCACAACGATTGAAGAGCTTTAATAGACGCCAGCTACGTACTGTGTTTATTTAGGTCGCCCGCCCTTCGTAATCTAGTCGAAAACGGGAAAGTAACCTATCCGTCCCATTCTCATCACTGCAACGTGCATTGCAGTATCATTGCCGCCTCTTGAGACATTGCGATCGCAAGTTACACGTGCGTAGCTGGGAAATGAGAAAGTGGCAACTGTCGTCTCGAGATCCGTCGCTTACAGGATGTCTCCAGTGCCTTTCTTCCCTGCTGGGCTGGCGTCTATTCGTACGTAGTAGTCTCATCTTGACCCAGTCTCATGCCTTCACGCATTCCACACGGCTGCGGCCTGCGCCCCGGAAACATGAGGCCCGAGTCAGGCTGGACGCCCTAAACCCCTCCGTCACTGACCGGATCGTCGCCTCATGAGTACGTAAACGCTAATGGTCGTGATCGCCGAAAAGTGACCGCCTCTTTGGGAAATTCGTCGCCAGAATGCCCGAGTACCGGGATTTTTAGCGTCGTGGTTGGGCCAACAGATATCGTTTCAGATCTGTAGCCTCTTGGCAGTTGGCAGTTGGGGGCGAGATAATCAGTTCATCAAACTGACGGTAAGGTCATTTTTGTCACCTCGGTTCAGCCGGGTTGGCGCCCCCAAGGCAGCAGCCAAGCATCTTCCATGAGTTGTTCTTCACTGCTTCTACCGAACAATCAGCTCTTAAATGCCAAGCCCTCCCAGCTGTCACTCTGCAGGGCTCTTATCCGCGAAACAAAGGATTCGGCAGTGAACATTCAAATCTTCCTCCCCTCGATTTGCGAATGCGAGCTAGTCAATCACTCTGGATTTCGCATAAGCAGGGCTTTATTGCAAACAACTCCATCTTGCCTTGCCCTGGCAATGTTGCATCCGACCTGCATCTGAGCGCCCTACCTACCCACCAGCCACGCTACTACGAAGCAGTGCGTCTGCTATCCACTTGACGTTGGAGGCTTGGGTCACACTGCGACGCTGCCACGATGGGTGTGTACCATTCGCTCGGTCGCCAAGTTGGATGATCTCCTGGAGTCACAGTGGTGAGTAGGCGGGGCCGGACCTGGACTCGCCACCCTCGCGGTCCCGAGTCCGACAGGTTCCCCACGACAGGGAGTGCTGCTTCGAAGTTCGGCCCCGGGGTTGCGAGCTGAGATGTGAGCCTCCTCGTAGCCCGTCCACTGTCCTTTCGTTGCAACGCAAGGCGCGACGGGTGGCTGGCAGCTCACATTTCTTTCCCACCTGCCCGGTGTGAGCGCTATCGCAACGCAAAATGTCACCGTCGGTAGTTGGACGATTGCAGTTGGTTCCTTCTTTGCTTCCTCCAGAACCCCACTGTGAGCTTTTACTGCACAGGTGCCGGAGCAGATCAACAAGCGCCAGCAGACTGACTCTCACCGACATGTTACTTGTACAATGTTATAATTCATAGGCACCACTTCGTTCCCGCGGGCCACGACAAGCGCAGTCCCGCCTGGCACGACACTTTCGCAGCCACAACAAGTACCAGTTTGACTTGAGCAATTGGCAACAAAGGCGAACAATCTGAATGACGGAGGTTCTCTTGTTGGTCGCCGTGCGTAGTGGGCCCAACAACTTCCACCGTCCACGCGACAAAGTGCCATCACTATCCGCAACCTCCTCTCCAGTCAATCGTGACACCAAAGTCAAGTTACGGCATCAAATGGCTGCAGGTGATCCAAACGGGCGAAGCATGCGACTTTGGAATGACCTTATAATAGATGCGCTATTAATGGCAAGGTAATTAGGTAGAGATAATTCTCTCAGTTACAGGCTTTGGGAGAGTTTCGGCCGTCGGGTGGTGTACTGGTGACTGCTGAGCCCTGGGCCCTGGCGTTCACATAGAACCCAGCCTCCAGTAAGTCCAGGCGCTGCTTGGCGCGACGGGTCTCACGTTGCAGGCCCCACGCCTCAGCGTCGACATGGCTAATTAGGGTCTGCGGATAAAGGTGACGAATAACCGCTTGTTACGCGGCTGTGCAAGCAGTATCAAGAAGACATTGTCTAGGTACGTGCGTAGACAGCTCGACAATTAGTCTTGATGCTGCCCCTGCAACTGGAGATGACGCCGGATGGATGCACTTGCCCAGCCGTCTCAGCCTGCATAAAGTTGTGGCTGCTGCATCGCGGTTAAGCGCCCAAGCGCCCGCGCTTGTTGGTTGTTGGTTGTTGGTAAGCCCAGTCGCTTATTACTAAGGCAAAAAGCCCCTGGCTTGCCGCGGGTCCGGTCCACAACAACAATGGAGGGCAGCCGCTCCTGATTGACCCTAGTGAACAACAATCAAGACCACAACGTCAAACCACACCCTCTCGAAAGCAGCCGTCAAAGCCGCCCGGCGTCGCAGTGCTAAGCGCATTTTGACCAGGCGCAAAAACCTTGCCAGCAGCATGCGCCATCCGCGTCTGCAGCGGCAATTCATCCCGGAATAGGGCATCATGGCCGTGTCCAAGTTCCGCGCGCGAAAGCACAAGGTGCTGCACTCCGTGTTCGACGCTGAAATCTCGCAACCCACGCCCTTGCTCCCGTCGACTGAGCCGGGCGAGCCCTTTGGTGGACCACCACCACCCCCCTCGGCGCTTGCCACTGATGCTGCCGCCCCCAGGCTTCATGAGGGGCTCATGAGCGACCAGGTGCAATGGGACCGCGCATGGCACGTAGTCACGTCTCGCATACAGCTACCCTCATCGGTGGCCATTGAAGACTCCTTCGGGACACTCGCCTCCGAGTCGCAGGACTATGATGACGTCTTCAGCTCAGCTGTGGCCCTGCTCGTCGACCCCCGCTCAACCGTCCCTCTCGCGCCTCATACGGACGACATACTCTCCTGGCATACGCATCAAGTCCGGCAACACTTTGTCAACCATGTCCTGCCCTTGCTCTCGGCATGCTCCAGCCAGGGAAGTCATGACCAGGCACTGCTGGCAAGCATCCGCACCCTCGAGGCGGCTCATCGCCAGTACCTCTACGGCCTGTCGCTGATCGTGCGCGGCTACGCCAGCGAATCAAGTGCTCACCATGCTATGCTGCGCTTTAGACGGGATCTCCATGCCATCATAGGTAGCTCTTGGACCTCAGGTCTGCAGAATGCCTTACGCCAGGTTCTGAGTAGGCTCATAGTCAGCATTGTGTGTGTCGACGACGCGCATCCAGGTTCGTCCACAGGCTTGGATCAAGATGAGCGGACAGCTGTGCCCAGGGCTGAGCTTTTGGAGCTTGTAGACTCACTTCAGAGTGTGGGCCTGGCCGGAGAGAAGTTCCAAGCCCTGCTGGCCGAGATCATGGATTCTAGCATGCAGACTCACATCTACAAGACGTATTCCGGTGTATGGTCTGAGCCCCGAGGGGAAGGCCTGTCTGCTGTGCCGGCCGCTGCGATGCTCACCGGATGTATGGCTGACTTGCGGGAATGGATCGAAAACAGATACGGCCAACTGGCTGTACTCGTCTTCAACCGACTTGGACTCCAGGTCAAGTATGGCGATGTCGAGTGCTGGAAGGACATTGGCATCGGACGCCTGGTCTCGCTCCGCATACAGGAGCTCTTTGACATTGTCCTGCGCTGGCCTCACAGCAAAGGGGGTGTCGATGATTTGCGCGCGGCGGTGACAACACCCGAGCGCCGTCTGCAACTGACTGACGTTTTCTCTGCGACTCTACAAAAGAGACTGCTCAATCCGGGGCGCTCGACGCTGTCGATCTTACAGACGTACGTTTCTATGATCCGGACATTCCATGCACTGGATCCCTCCAAGGTGCTTCTCGATCGGGTGGTCCAAGCCTTGCAGCTCTATCTGTGCCAGCGAGACGACGCGATCCGCATTGTCGTTACGGGACTTCTTTCTAACCCCAAGGATCTCAGCGAGGAGGAGAGCGAAAAGAGACTGGTGGAACTAGCTACTATTCTAAATGACCCGGCCCAGCAACAGCGCCGCCAGATCGAGGGCGACGATGCTGACTGGAACGACATGTCCTGGATCCCCGATCCCGTCGACGCAGGAGTCAACTACAAGCGACCAAAGAACGAAGACGTCATCGGCACACTGATCAGTGCCCTGGGATCCCAGGAAATCTTCATCAAGGAGTTCCAAGCCATCATTGCCGAACGCCTCCTGTCGAGCCAGACGAGCTATCAACAGGAGCTCAAAGTTCTGGGGCTGCTCAAAAGGAGGTTCGGCGAGCCTGCACTGCAAAACTGCGATGTCATGATGAAGGACATCCAAGACTCGCGTCGCTTAGATGCGATTCTCGCGCAGCGTCTTGAGCCAACCTTGGATGCCGATGGGCATTCGCTTGGCTTCCACTCCAAAATCCTATCCAGGCTGTTCTGGCCCAGTATGCCAAAGGAACCATTTGTCGTGCCAAAGCCTGTCGCGGCGCTGCAGGAGCAGTATGCGGCTGGTTTTGAGCGAGTCAAGAACGCTCGGAAGCTTAACTGGCTCGATCATCTGGGGCTGGCTACCGTACATCTCGAGTTGGAGGACCGCACCATTGACATGGAATGCAAAACATACGAGGCAGCCGTCATCTTTGCCTTTGACCAAGAGGGCGAGACGGCGCCTGTCCAGAAGACTTTTGACGAGATATGGCTGCAGCTGACTATTGAAGAAGATCTGCTCGACGCTGCTCTCACATTCTGGCAGACACAAAAGGTTCTCAAGGACATTGGCGATAGAACCTACATTGTCATGGAACGCCTCGATGACGAGAGCCCCGGCGACGATCCCGACACGACTGTCGATGGCAGTCGGCAGCCTGCCTCGGCGCGCAAGGCTAAGGGTATTAGTGCGCAGGAACAGCAGCGTCAGACAGTGTACTGGCAATTCGTCGTTGGCATGCTGACCAATGGTGGCCCCAAGCCGTTGGCCGGTATTCTCACCATGATGAAGATGCTGATTCCGGGTGGGTGCACGTGGACAAGCGAGGAGTTGCAGCAGTTCATGAACGAGAAGGTTTCCGAGGGCAACGTGGAGCTCGTGGGTGGAAAGTACCGCATCCCTAAGAAGTGAGCGGTGGTGATCCCGCAATACGTAGAGACAATGAGCCATGAAGTGAATAGATACCCGTGAAGGCTGCTCAGGGAAAGGTTGAATGTGCTATTATCGCCTGCAGTCAGGTCACAGGGACGATAGGGGCGAGAGAGTGGAGGACGCAGCAGAGCAGCGCCAAGAGCGTTGCATGCATGTGACTGAATCAAAAGCTGCTTTTACTCCTCAAGCTACAGGCAAAGATCATGCATGATTATTTCCTGGATTCATCGCTGTGGTGATGCTCTGACAGATCAAATAGTTGGTTCATCATTCCAAGATGCGGTCGCTACGACACTAGCGCTCAGTCGATTGTGCCGCAAGCAGCAGCCCGAAACGGAAGGCGGTGGCAGGAGCAACAGCAAGCATTTATTTGAAACTGTTGAGCCTTTTCTTGTTCACCGCCGTGTGCGGTCACCGCTGCAGCACGAAATGCCAAGGTACTTTGGGTACGTTGTGCTCCAGCATCTTAGCGAACAATGCGAGCGAAACGACTGGAGCTGCATGGCGCTTCTTCCGAGCCATTAACGGTTATTAACCCCTCCTTGCAGCCACCAGAGTCTAGACAGTCCCAGGCCGCATTATCGATGACAGCAATGTGACCTTGGCGTGGTTGGCTGGGCTAGCCAAGGGATATTGTCTCTCTGGCGCCCAGATTAGCACTGTTTGTCGTTGATTGATGACAGCGAACTTGAAATGGAGCCAAAGTGGCCGCCACCAAACCAGATACACTGCCCCCTACATGTGCTACGCGCACCGGAGGTGACTGGACTCACTGGAGGCGAGGCCAGACCAGGCCGGACCAGACCAGCAGGTGATTGATTGATTGATCGATGATAAACTTGCCTTGGCCATTGATCATATGCTGCCACGACCACTCCGTTGGGGGTCATTCGGCATAATTATGACTGGCACGCTCCGGAGGGTCGGCCATGTCATCTATCAGCCAGGTCCAGTCAACTACTAAAGTTATTAGTGCAGCGCATGGTCGGCTGATTGCTTCCAATCGTCATCCTCACCACCTTGGTCGTCACGTTCCATGGGCGACTTTTCATCTGCATTTCATTTCATTCATGCGACAAGGCCAGGCCGTCCGTCCGTCCCAGGCCGCCGCATCATTGCAACACCAGCCAGGCATTGGGGCTATTTTGATCTCATGCACAGCAAGCATTCTGCCCGCCTCATTCACCACTCATCAATCATCTCCAGCCCCAACTCCAGTCCAGTCGCTCGTGCCGCTTGCCATTTTGCCCAGCTCGTTCGTTGGTTTCCGGTTCAGTCATCACGCACATTCCATCTTGGCCTGTTGCATGTACCCCGTCACTGATTAGCCTTTCGCTATCACGGCTTTGGCGGGCGGGCACACGCTTATACGCTCCATGTCCCGCAAACGCAACGCATTACACGCACCCGACTCGCTCTCGCTCGCAACCGGTGTGCCCACCGCCCCTTGCCCTCACTGCCTACTTAGCACTGTGATCACCGTCGGTCCGTCGTGCTGTGACCCCGTAATGGCCCGTTGGAGTTGCGCCTCCAGAAACAGGCTCGGGACAAGTCTCAGCTGACTCGCAGTCGAGCCTCCTCCCGCAGGTTACGTCGCCGACAGGCCACACTTCTTGACCTCAACTTTGCTCCTCCTTCTCCTCTTCCTGCCCTCGCTGTCGTGTGACTTTTTGTCCAATATCTAATATCTCCTCATCGCGCCTCGCCCAGTGACCGACCACATTGTGCCGCCAACATCTCAACTGCGTACCCATTCCACCTTGATACCCAGCGCCAGCATCTCCAGTCGCTCGCCTGTGGCACTTTGGAAGCGAGGGCAATCAACTCGCTCACTCGCCACTGTCCGATACTCGAGTCGCTGGGCCAGAATCTTGTGCGCGCTCCGGCTTGGGCAGACTGACTGACTGACTGACTGACGCTTGAGGCGAACGGTGCACATTGGGGCGGGCTGCGCTGGCCAGGCATTCACCTCACACTGGAAATCAATAGGCGGGCGGGAAGAGGAGACCATTGACTGGAGTTGCCAAAAGCAAGGCAGCATCACCGTACACCGCAGTGCACACGAGCAAACACTTGGCCCATCGTATCGCTCGGTCACCTGCTTCGTCTCATCTTCGTCGGCATCTTGGAGTTGATTCACTGGGCCTTGGGGTTCTTCGGCGTTCGCCTATATCTGCGGATCAGCCGCAAGCGTCGGCCCTTTTCGACTCTCGCCTCACGCTGTTATCTGGACTTACTCTTGTGCGAAGAGAGCGGTGCTTCGAACGCAGTTCTGCCAGCCGAAGCGCGCATTATATTCATTCACAAGACATAGTCATATGTGGCTTGCTCTCAGCGACCCTATTCTATACGTGTGCAGATATCACCTGCGTCGAGGATAGCGCCGCGACGGCGGACGCAGGCGCATGTTGTCGCCGCTCAGGACAGCTGTACAAGGATTAACTCGCCATGGATATCTATGCTTTATCTGGGGAACCGGGGGCTCAAAGAAAGTCTGACAGGTCCGGTGATCATAATCTAGCGGAAGATTTGTCTCCAGTACCGGCGAGTAACAGATCATCGCATGCGCGTCAAGCATCTCACGACTCCGACTATCCGCGCCCGAGCTTCACATTTGGACAATCTCAACCACCTCTGCCTGCTCCACTGCCGCCATTACCGGGGACTTTTATCAATCGCCAAGCTGTGAGGGATCCGGTCACTCAACTCCCCCGGTTAACAGCGATCAACAGGCGCAGAGCCCAGGCGTCAAGTCTAAATCCTTCAAGGCCACCACACACAGCGTCCAGCCCTAGAGCAAGGTCTAGCCGCGCATCATGGCACTCCGCGCCAAGCCATGAAAATGGTCACAGGAATCGAATGTCAACTGTGTCATCAAGAGCTGATATTGCCTTTCGACATGCTGTGCGTTCTTCTGCCCACCAGACTGAACACACATCATCCACAAATGCCGATATTAGGAGTACCGCCCTTGCAGGTAAGGAATGACTCCCCAGTACCACCTTGGCCATGTGTAGCAAGAGCCAAAACTAGGCACTGGATATTGTGCTACGCAACCAAGTCGTTTGTGTGCTTGTACAAATGCTGATCCTGTTCTCAGGCAGAGATATCATGCCGCCATTGGCCATACCGCGGGATGGCACCCAGGTTGGCGTCAGACAACCCTTCCCGAGGCAGGCCCCTCTAACAACGCACTCTCCTTACGAAGACGACTCGGACGAGGAATATGACATCTGGCTTGACCAGGTAGATGCAGAGGCGGCACGGCCTACGGATGTCAGTATCGCCCAAGTGGACAAGACGGTGCGCGCAGCTAGAAACCGTCTGCATTCCGAATTCGGCAGCGCAAACGTGGAAGACTATGAAAGGGAGGCTATAGAGGCGCCGTTGAGAGAGTGGAGGATCAAGGTGACGAAGCCCTTGCTAGGATTCCAGCAAGCCCAGGTACTTGCGGATTCGACTGGTAAGCTGGCATCGACGTGGTACTGGGAACATTCTATTGACCTCATCACCAGAATGCCAGATGTGCTTCGAGAGCTACGGCGTCGAGACCCCCGAGGGGATCAGCGAGGTGGCCCTGCAGCTCCCGTGCAAACATGTTTTTGGCGACCAATGTATGCAAAGGTGGCTCGCGGAATCCAGGCACATGGAATGCCCGTATTGTCGAGCTCGGCTGGTTCCGTCTGTGCAAAAGCACGGGCGTTGCATCGCCACGAGCTGGCTGCGAAATATGGCGCAGTACTTTCGCGAGATCCAGTCAGTCAGACGTCAGCTGTACGCCAACCCTTTCCCGAGCAGGCCAGATCCGAGCTAACTGTCATACCTAGCTTGGATAGACGCGACGACTCAGAAGACCGAGCATCACGACGATTGATTGACGCGGCATTACGGGCTAGGCGTGCGAGGTACGCCGCGCTGGCCGAGAACCGACCATCTTCGCGTCGCAGAATCACCTTGTCCGGGCCACACCAGGCGGCTTCAACTCAGCAGCGTCCCCTGACGTCCCCTGGCAATACCAGTGGCGCTGAAAGCACGCGCACATTCCGACGAAGCCAAGGCCAAAGCATACATGAAGATCACACAGCTACGCCGCAGACAGAGCTGTGGACTGCGTCTGCCGAAGAGCAGTACCAACTAGAGCGCAGCTCTGTACAAAACCGTGCACCACTTGGCCAGACCCCTGTCAATGGCCAACTCCCGCTGCCGAGCGCAGGCTATCTAGGATTGCCCGATGCCTTGCCCGCTCCTGGTTCTATCTACGCCACGAATTTCGATGAGAGCCAGGCCGCTCTCCCGCGTGGGGACTTGTTCTTTCCCTCCGGAGTGCCATATGAAGGCTACATAGGCCGCAACGGCGTCTGGGGTGCAGAATCCTCCGGTGCCCTGGCGGACCCGAGTCTGTCATCGGAAGCGGGTCAGGGCTATTACTATGCCGTGCAATTCAACTACTACAGCACTTTGGGCATGCCGCGGCCCAGCGCCAGCAATAACCCCAGTCACTCTCATGGCGACGATGTCATGAATCCGTCCTAGGAGGAGGGGAGGACCGATTGAGAAACCCCCTTATACAGCAAAGCGGCCTGTTACCTATGAATTCAGCCACCTGTGTAGGTTTATGGGGATATTGCGGTTTGAGGGGTGGAATAATAAAGTTTGGTGGACAAGACTCGGACTCACACAAATGTTTTGTTGTGTGCAAGTTTAGCTCCGTTTTGGCGTCGTGGGCCAGGCTTAGCATTCGGAGGCGCATGGGTACTAAGAATATAAATGCGTCCTTGTGCATCGGTCACGAGAGATAGGAGGTCGATAGTCATTTTAAAATCTCTTAAACTTTATGGTTGTAGTAAGCGTGAAAAGCACACAATTATGAGTTACCGGGTAAGTAAAAATGCAAAGCCCACTCGGCGACTCGGCGGGCTCTGCAGGACATGCATGAGGAGACCCGATCTCATGACGAATGAGCATGTCTTGAATGCATTGCCAGTTGGCACTTGTGGTTCCGGTTGAGGACAAAATAGACCGCTCAGCACAGCAGACGATGGGAGTGAAACGCATGAATACGTACCCAAGCAGTGTGTAAGGCATCAGTGACTTCCTAACCGATGTAAGCTCAGTGCATCTGTCGCAGACGCAGCTTCACAGCAGCGACCATGCGCAATACTCAATCCATCAAGTATCGATTGACTGGGCGATGAGTTGAAGCGATCGTTGCTCTTTATTCTGTCAGCCACATCATGGACTTTCGCTCGCGGTGGCCCCCCATCTCAGCTTCAATTGGGCTCGGGCGGGTCTGGCCGTGGCCCGTCAATGGTCGCGGCGGCGAGACGAGTATGTGATTGGGCAAAAGAGGGCCATCCCAGCCACCGCTTCTTCGACGATGGGGACTGGAGCCGGGGCCCAGCGACCCAGTCGGGCCTGTCTGGGAGATCTGACGACTGGAGACGCAGCTGAAAGAGCATCTGCTCCGGCTGGGCAGCGCCTTCCAAAACAACAACAACAAAAATCACCACCTGCCACCGACTGCTCACTGCGCAGTGCAGCCCCTTGATCACCCATCACGGTTGGCGCACACGACGCAGTCCGTTGGAACCAGCAACGATGGATGACTCCCGTCGCCGGAGCCCTGAGAGCTCCAGGAGACGGCGACGCGCCGAGAGACAAGCTTCTCCCGAGCATGTCGTCCCTCCCACCGCGACGAGGTCATTCCACAACACAGGCACGCCCCAGTACGAGTCGGCAACATACTATAGCACGACCCACGATGATCGTGGCGGCCGACCCTCACAATACTATTCACAGACAGCGGGCGAGTCATCAACAAGGGCGCCAGGTGGCGCGGCACCAACCGAGACCGCTAGACACAACCACATTCCATCCTACCATCGCGATAGGGCATACTCCAGCTCCTCCGGCTCGAGCTCCACATCCTCCTCACTCCTCGACATCTCGCGACGATACCCCGAAGTTCCCAAACCCAGGGGACTAGGCGGTGTCTTCAATACCTTTTTCCGCACACCATCAGAGCACCGCCGTCTAAGGCGGAGGAGGAGCGGCAAAGCGAAGCGAAGGGCGCGCGTGCTGTACTTTGGCAACTCTTCCAGCTCGTCCGTCAATTCGGACCTCGCATATGGCACGGGCTATATCCCACGGAGGAAATCGAGTCGCGATTTCACGGCCAGACACGATAGACCGTCGCAGCATGGCCACTCTTCCTCCCTGCCCTCGGCGTCCGGGCCCTCTACGGGAATAGCAGCTGGAGCAGCGACGGCAGCGGCGGCGGGTGCTGCCGCCTACGCGGCGGCCCAGGCCTCCAGCAGCCACCACCAACCCCAGACGCCCTCGCACTATGCGCCGTCGCATGGGCATTCGCAATCGTTCTCGCATCCCCCGACACAGCATGAAGCGCAGACCAACTTCGCCGCACCCTTGGCGGCTACGGCAGCTGCTGGAGCTGCAGCAGGACTCGCGGCTGACTACTATGATGTGAACAACCAGTTCGTTCCCAAGGCACCCACGCCACGTCGGCGAAAGACCGATGAAGAGATCATGGCAATTGGGCGTCAGCTCTCTGACCTTGCGAAGGCAAGCAACGAGGATGACATGCGGAGGGCGGGACTATCCCGTCCATCTGGTCTCGTTTCTGCTGCCACCCAGTACAGCAACTATCAGAGCTCAAAGCCTGGGGCCAAGAGCCGGGGCCTCGGGGGATCGAAGATGAGGGTCGACTCTTCCGCGGACGATTCCGAATGGGAGTCCGCCTCCGATGATTCTGATTCTGAGTCCGATTCTGATGATAGCGCCGATTCGTCCATGGCCTATGGGACTGTCGTTTCGCAGGCTATCCGCCCGACAATGACAGCTGCCGCCGGCGCTGTGACAGGCGCAGCAATGACAGCAGCAGCTGGGCGCATGGCCGACAGGAAGAGCTCAGTCGTCGACCCGCACTTGTTCGGTCCTGTCAACTCTCTTCGTGGCATGATTAATACGCCCTGCGGATTTGGCGAGGACGGCAAGCCACTCACGCGTGACCCGCGACCTCTCACACGCTCTAGCACCGAGCCCCTGGGCCTTATGCGCACTGTCCACCCAGTGGCGACGGCGGATCCTTCTCGCTTCGACGCCTCACTGCAGCGCGAGCTCCCGCAGAGATCGAGGCCAGCGCCTGTTCCCCTGCAGCAACCTGTCCCTCGGCAAACGGTATCTCCCAAGGTGTACGATGCCGAGAAACTCGAGGACGTCACGAGACGTGATGCTAAGCCTCCAAAGGAGAGCTCTGACAGCAAAAGCTGGATTGGCGCTGCCGCTGTCGGTGCGGCAGCCGCAGCTGCTGGAACTGCGCTGGTCAGTGACCGCAAAGATGACCGCAGCGATCGCAAGGAGTCACGCGAAGTAGCTGATGTTGATCGTCGTGAGCGGGAAAGGCGCTCAGAGCGTGGCGAAAAACGAGAGAAAGAGCGCGAACGAGAGAAGGAGCGCGAGAAGGAGCGCGAAAAAGAGAAGCGACGCGAAAAGGACCGTGAAAAGGACAAGGAACGCAAGCCCAAGCGCGACTCTCGATCCTCCGTGTATGACGACAAGGACAAGGAGAAGGAACGCAAGCGTTCCTCACGTCAAGACGATCGTAGCGATGTCTCGAGGAAACACCGGGACCACGCTGTCGAAGAGGACCCGACGCGCGAGTCATACAAACGACGTGACAAGTATGAGCCCGCCGAAGTTCGCAGCGAGGTCTCACGTAGCTCGAGGCGCTCAAGCCGAAAGTATGACGAGGATGTGCCCGAGGCCTATCGCGACATTCCCTTACCCATGAAGGCAGGTTCCGAAAAGACTACGGAGACGGAGAGGGGCCCCCAAAAACCGATTATTGACCCTTTCCAGTACCAAGTCCATGACACCGACCCGCCATCAGGTGCATCCGCCAGGCCTTTGACGCCAGCTGTTGTCGTCGTCGACCGGGAGCCAATCTTTGACGACTCAGACCCTGACGCTCCTGAGATTGATGGAGGGCGCCTGAGCCGCAGGGACTCGTTTGAGATCGAAAAGATGGTGGAGGAATACAAGAAGCGCTCGACCCCCGAGGAGCAACAGGCAGCAAAAGACTACGTCACCAGCAAAGCAGCGCATGCAGTAGCACCTGTGTCGGCCGCTGTCATGGCCGGTGCCATCATGACTGAAGCCCCTCGGTCTGAGAGTCGCAAGCGTGGTGAGGGACATCCCGAATCCAGATCGCGTAGCCGGAGTCGACGTGAAAGGGACGCAGTACAGGACGAGGCAGACCAATACTACCGGGAGCAAGAGACCGCACGGAAAATCGCCTCGGATGAGGTCCGCAACCGTGGTGCTACTCCCGAGAAGTCGGTCATGGACAAATGGGATAAGGACGATGAGGACGACAAGGCTGATCCCCCGACGATCGTCACCCCACCGCAGATGAAGCAGCACGCTCAGGATCAGTACGGCGAGCACAACGCCGATGTCAGGATTGACAATGTCTTCTCGCCCAGCGAGCTGGCACGGTTCCGTGCAGAGTACGGCGGATCTGACTACATGCGCGATCAATCTACTGAGCGTGCGCGCCCACTCTTGAACTTGGTGTACCCGACCCCGGCATCCAGCCGCAAGACCACCCCTGCGATTGAAGTGCAGGAAGAGAAGGACCAACCTGAAGACCGCAGCATCAATGAACGTGGCAAGGGTCGGGATGTACGCGACCGCGATTACACAGACTCGTCTTCAAAGTCAGACGTTGGCATCGGCAAGAGGCGCAAAGACAAGGACAGAGACGACACCAGATCGTCAAAATCCGAGGTTGGTGTCAGCTCCCGCAGGAGACGGACTCGAGACATCGAGGACGACACGACACAATCTGATGTTGGGCCTACCGTTGTTGTCGGACCAAACGGCGAGATCATGACTGTCCCTGCAAAGTCTGTCAGCTGGGGGGAAAACCAGTACAAAGTAGTGACGCCTGAGCCCAGGGATGACCGCGAATTGGGCGATGAGCGCGGATCGTCGAGGCCAAGCCTAGATAAGACAAGCGCCTGGGGAGCCGCTGCCGCCGCCATGGCTGGAAGCAGCATCGAGCCCGACAATGAACCTCAGATCGTTGTCGAGTCGCCCAAGGAGATGGATCCCAGCTCAAGCCGGTCCATCCACGCTTATCGCATGGAAGATGATCATGGCGCACCTCCTGTGCCCGGACCCAAGCCTTCCAGTCCCAGTCCGGAGCAGATGCCCGGCACCTTTGCCGACGACATTGAGTTCGCTGCCACCCTGGCAGCTGGGCTTAAGGATACTGGCTTCGACCCCAACATTGTCATTGACGACCCAACATATCGTCGCCGAGACTCGCCTCCTGGCACCAACGAAATCAATGGCAATGGCCTGTACAGGCCTGCGTACTCTGAAACAGTGTCTGATCTTGCCTCACGTGAGCCACAACCCGGCCCGACTGAGCCTGGGTTCGTTCTGGGTGAGGTCGAGACTCCTAAAGACGAGGTCAAGCCCACCGAGTCTACGGAAGATGCTACATC